GACGATGTAAAACAAAGCCCCAAAATAGATCCGCAGAGCCATCTGAGCAAATAACACACGGAACTGGGATGCTGGGGACGTTGCTTTATTCCTATTTATCTTCCTGATGTAAACCAAGCTGGAAGGTAATTTTTCCTCCGAGGCATCGGTGGCCTCAACGCAATAAAAAAAAAAAAAAAACAGTATCCTGAAAACAACAGGATGTAAAAACTCACTGAGGGTCCCCGAGTGGTTTTTTGCATCTCAAGACATGTCGCAATACAGAATCCGGTGTCGTCTTCTTGCAAAGCTAAACATGGAATCCCGGGCACCAAAAAAAGAGGAAGATTCAGACACGCTGACTGGAGGGGGTGGGGTGGGGGCAGAGAAGATGTCCTTCAGTCTCACACTTCTGGCTTTCTGACAATGTTTTCCAGAGATCGTGACGTTTTGTGCGCACCACGGACAAGCTGGCTGCGCGTCTACTTTCAAATCAAGGCTTCTTGTGAGATATGAAGGAGAAAGTCAATCTTGGAAGAATACTTGCCCCTTGCTAGGTAGTCCTCGACTTACGACCACAACTGAGCCCGGGGAATTCACGGTCAGGGTGGATAAAAATCGGGTGTTTTTTTTTTTTATTTAAGTTTCACTTTGCTTTATTGATTATCCTATAGGCCCGTGATGGCGAACCTGTGGCACGCGGAGCCGTATCGGTGGGCACGCGAGCTCAGCTCTGGCAGAGATGCGTGCACCAGCCAGCTGATTTTCGGGCCTTCTGCGCCCACTGGAAGTCAGCAAACAGGCCATTTCCAGCCTCTGGAGGGTCTCCAGGGGGATGGGGAAGGTCATTTTCGACCTCCCCAGGCTCCTAGAAAGGCCCTGGAGCCTGGGGAGGGTGAAAAAACAGGCCCACTGTGCCATCACATGCCAAAAGCGAGGGAAGCGTGTGCGGGGGAGGGTGTGTGTGTGTCACGCACAGATGCGCGAGGCGGGATGCGTAGAATTATGGGTGTGGTCACACACACACGCAACCTCCCTGCGCTCCCCCGGCTTTTGGCACACGATGGCAAAAAGGTTAGCCATCGCTGCTATAGGCCACAGCTGGCTGGAGAATTCTGGGAGTTGAAGTCCATAAATCTTAAAGCTGCCAAGTTTGAAGATCTCTGCTATACGGCCATATCAAAGCACAAAGTGCAAACCCATATCACCAATAAAATCTTATAGAAACGATTTAAAATAAAAGTAGGGTAAAATATAGTAGTTATAAGATAAGATACAATATAATTCAATGCATAAATATATAAAATAGAGTAAAATGACATACAATTATGTTTATTAAAAAATTTTTTTCTAAATTTCCCCCCCAAAATCGGATTTTTAAAAGATTTAAATCAGGGTTTTCTTTATTTAAATTGGATTTTCCTTTATTTTTTTTATCAAATTTATTTTAAAAAATATACTGCTCAAAAAAATAAAGGGAACACAAGCAGAAGACATCCGAGATCTGAATGAATGAAATAGCCTGAATTAAATACTTTGTTCTTTACATAGTCGTTTATACACTGCTCAAACAACTAAAGGGAACACAAAACTACCGTATGTAACGAACAAAGTATTTAATCAGGCTATTTCATTCATTTAGATCTCGGATGTCTTCTGCTTGTCTTCCCTTTATTTTTTTGAGCAGTGTATATAATTATTTTAATAAAATGCTTTTGGGGTAAAAAAAAAGGTAGTTTTCTATTTAAGAGAACATTACTAATGTAGTTTATTCGGCATGAAATGGAGCTTAGTTCTGTCGCAGGAGGGCTGTATATTCTGCAAAATTTACAACTCATTCAATGAGGCCAAGCTCTGCAAGCAAAATAGGAAACCCTCATTTTGTTTTGCAAATCATAATATTAAAGATTCTAACTAGCAGCAAGAATGAGGCCTTACGATGAAAGAGCAACGGTCATTTCAGATCCATCACGGCAGCGCCTGGTAGCGGGCATCCACTCACCTGTGTCCCTGCCGCATCACCAGCCGTCCCATTAAAGGGAATGGGACTGTTGGCGAGTCAACACCGGGTCAAAGGAGGAGCTGCTGCGTGACAGATGACAGTTGCTCTTTAAAAATTAGGATTTAAATCGAGTTGATTTAAATCAAGCCTCTTTACTAGTGATTTAAATCACGATTTAAATGGACTCGATTTAAATCCAATTTACCCTGTCTATGGTGTCAAGCGAGAAATGTGCTCTGTGAGTTTTGCCTCGTTTTACGACTTTTCTTGCCACTTTTCTTGTTAAGTGAGACACCGCCGTGGTCAGACTAACAACAGGGTTGCGAAGTGAATCTGATTTCCCTGTTGACTTTGCTTGCCAAAAAAGGGGGGATCGCGTCACCCCGGGGCACTGCAATCGTCGTATAAATACGAGTCAAGTCGCAGAGCGTCTGAATTTGGATCACGAGACCTGCGGGGGATGCTGCAACGGTCGTAAGTGTGGGACAATCAGCCACCAGTCCCTTTTTTTCCCCCCAGTGCTGTTGTAACTTCCAACGGTCACTAAACGGACCATGGTTAAGTCGTATGCGGAATTAAGGCGAACTGCTTAAAACAGTTCAAAAAAGGACATGGTTTTTTTAATTTGCCTTCCATCATGCTGAGGAGGAGAAGGAGGGTACAAGCAACAAACATGCTTGGACATTATTCAAGGACACCAAAATAAACCGAAGGCACCTCTGTTTTTCTGGCTGGCCCAAGTAGGCATGCCATCTGTAAAAATAGCTGAGGTATAAAAGGAGCTGTTAATAGCAAGACTGGTCAGGCACATATAATCCTTCCTTCCTTCTACATATAATCCTTCCTTCCTTCCTTCCCTCCCTTTCCTTTCTCTCTCTCTTTCTTTCTTTTTCTTTCTTTCCATTTTCTCCTTTCTTTTCCCTCCCTCCCTCCCTTTCTTTTTCTTTTTTCTCCTTTCCTTTTCTCTCCTTCCTTCCTATTCCTTTCCTTCCCTTCCCTCCTTCTACATATCCTTCCTTCCTTCCCTCCCTCCCTTTCCTTCCTTTCTTTCTCCTTCTTTCTTTTTTTATTTCTTTCTTTTTCCTCCCTCATTTCTTTTTCTCCTCTTTCCTTTTCTCCTTCCTTCCTCCTTCCCTTCCCTTCCCTTCTTCTACATATAATCCTTCCTTCCTTCCCTCCCTCCCTTTCCTTCCTTTCTTTCTCCTTCTTTCTTTTTTTATTTCTTTCTTTTTCCTCCCTCATTTCTTTTTCTCCTCTTTCCTTTTCTCCTTCCTTCCTCCTTCCCTTCCCTTCCCTTCTTCTACATATAATCAATCCTTCCTTCTTTCCCTCCCTCCCTTTCCTTCCTTTCTTTCTCCTACTTTCTTTCTTTCTTTTCCCTCCCTCCCTCATTTCTTTCTTTTTCTCATCTTTCCTTTTCTCTCCTTCCTTTCCTTTCCTTTCCTTTCCTTTCCTTTCCTTTCCTTTCCTTTCCTTTCCCTTCCCTTCCCTTCCTTTCCCCTTTCCTTTTCTTTTCTTCTGGGAGAATCCCCAGAGTTCATTCAAACTTTTCCCAGGTTGCATCCACAGATTCTGGGAATTACAAAAAATAGGAATTTCTCAATCCAGACTGTTTAATTCATGTTTAATTCAAGCAATCCTGAGAGCTGCAAGGCTTGTGGGATATTCCTGGTAATGGTGCCTCACTTCGACAGGGCTGTCTTAGCCTTCGTGCAGATCATCCTCGACTTACAGTTGGGGGGGGGAGGCGCTGTGGGAAAAGGTCATAAAATTGGACACAACTCGCTTAACAACCAACTTGCTTTAACCGTGGAAATTCTGGCCACAGCTGAGGTTGTAAGTTGAGGACTATCTACGGCGTACATCTAGGTCTGAGACGTGTCGTCTCCCGTCCACACAGCATGAAAAGTGTCCACGCAGTCCTAATATCTGGCTTTGCTTTCCTAACGCAGGCTACAACTTCAGACCGCACCCAGACCACTCCGAAGATTAGGGATCATTGAAAGCTGGCACGCTTAGGGCCACAGGTGAAAAACGACAGCCGAGCCAGATAAATAACCGTGACTACCTACATCACAGAACAGGAAGGGATGATTTTACAGAAACGATTGTCCTTGTTTCTTTCTGCCTAATGGCATGATTTGATTCCCTTCTGAAGGAAGAGAGAAGAGGGGAGGAAAGAAGAGGAGGGGAGGGGTTGGGGAAGGGAGGAGGGAAGAGGAGAGGGTGGGGAGGCGAGAAGAGAGGGGGAGGGGGAGGGAAGGGTGGGGAAGGGAAGAGGGTGGGGAGGGGAGAAGAGAGAAGAGGATGAGGAGGGAAAAAGAGAAGGTGGGGAGGGGAGGGGAGAAGAGGAGATGATGGGGAGGGTGGGAGAGGAGGGAAGAGGAGAGGGTGAGATGGGGAGGGAAGGGTGGGAAGAAGAGAGGACAGGGTGGGGAGGGGAGGGGAGAAGAGATGATGGGGAGGGTGGGAGAGGAGGGAAGAAGAGGGGGAAGAAGAGAAGAAGGGTGGGGAGAGGGAGGGGAGGAAGGAAGAGGAGAGGGTGAGGAGGGGAGGGAAGGGTGGGGAGTGGGAAGAAGAGAGGTCAGGGTGGGGAGGGGACAGGAGAGAAAGAGATTTACCGGATTGCTAACTACAAACTAACTACAGACTCCTCCCAACGTGACGGATTACAACTCCAGCCCTACTCCTTCCTGTCAGAATACCGGCTGGGGGATGCTGGGAATTGTCGTCCGACGCCTCCCCTGTTTACAAGAGCTCAAGAGACGAAAAGCCGTCCTCCAGAAGAGAAGGACCAGACCGATGACTGGAGAAACGAACAACATCTGCCGGGCTCCGTGTGTATGTATGTGTGTGTGGAAGGAAGAAGCAGCAGCCAGGGTGACCTAGCGTGCCCCCCATCCTCTTTCCATCAAGCAACAGGGGGAAAAAAAGTCACCGACCGAGGCCTCTCGGAGCCCTGCGCGGAGGAACGAGAGCCCCCCCTCCTCCCCCCCCAGGAGTCTCCCCCGGGACTCACCAACCCATTAAGTCGTCTCCATATTGCCGCTGTCATGGGGGGAGCCGTACGCGGAGGTGGGCTTGCTGCCGCGGCTTCTAAGCAGGCTGCTGCTGTTTCCTTGCGAAGGAAGCAAAAGGTTACTTCCCTGTATACGGTTCTAGCACCGCCTCTTCCTGCCAGGCTTCCCCCCCCCAGAGAGAGAGGGGGGGAGAGAGAGAGAGAGAGAGAGAGAGAGAGAGAGAGAGAGAGAGAGAGAGAGAGAGGGAGAGAGAGAGAGAGAGAGAGAGAGAGAGAGAGAGAGAGAGAGAGAGAGAGAGAAAGTCCCGCTGCTGTTTTGGCAGCCGCACAAGATCCACTCGGATGCTCCAAGGGAGGGGACGGTCGGAGGGCACTTTCCGGTCCCCGAGTCCCGTCTCTTCTCCCCAGCCCGTTTTGGCAGACGAACAAGGAACAAGGAGGAGGCTGGCCGGGTTCCAGAAACTTAACATACCTTGTGGGCAAATAATGCAGTGAGACACAGACGCAGCTGGGAAAGGAGCAGCAGCAGCAGCAGCCAGGAGCCAAGGAAAAAGCTGGCATTTCTGCAGCCGGGCGAGCTGGGGTGGAGGGACACAGAAAGGAGGAGACGGGGCGATTTTTAAAAAAAATTGTTTATTCTTTCTAAAAAGAGAATGGTTTCGGAGAGGAAGAGGAGGAAAAGGAGGAGGAGGAGGAGGAGGAGGAAGAAGAGGAGAAGGAAAAGGAAGAAAATGAAGAGGAGGAGGAGGAGGAGGAGGAGGAGGAGGAGGAGGAGGAGGAGGAGGAGGAGATACTGATTTGGGACCGTTTTTCACTTACGACCGTTGCAGCATCCCCGTGGTCACATGATCAATGTTCAGGTGCTTGTCAAACTGGTTCATATTTACGACGGCCGCAGAGTCCGGGGGGTCAGGTGATCCACTTAACAACCGTGTCACTACCTTAACGAATGCAAGGATCCCACTTAACAACCGTGGCGACAAAAGTCGTAAAATGGGGCAGGCAAAGCTCCCTTAGCCCATGTCTCCCCTTAGCAACGTAACATAAATTTTGAGCTCGACTATGGTGGTAACTCGAGGACTCCCAGTACTCTAAACCAGGGGTCTCCAACCTTGGTAACTTTTACGACTTGTGGACTTCAACTCCCAGAGTTCCTCAGCCAGCAAAGCTTTGAGAGCATTTCAAATTCCTCAGCAAAGCTGGCTGAGGAATTCTGGGAGTTGAAGTCCACAAGTCTTAAAGTTGCCAAGGTTGGAGACCCCTGCTCTAAACCGAGAGAATTACCGTATTTTTCAGAGTATAAGACGCACCTTTTTCTCCCCTAAAAGGGGGTGAAAATGTAGGTGCGCCTTATACACCAAATGTAGCCCCACCCACCCACTGGCCCCCACCCTTTGGCCTCTACCTCCCAGCAATTTACCTCCTTGCAAGCAAACAGCAAGAAAAAACAGCTCCTTTCAGCTTCAGCACAGCCTAATTAGCACAAGTTGATTGGATTGGCCTCCCGACTCTCAGCTGATTTGGTCTCAGCTGTTTTGCGCAGGGCTCTGCTGCTTGCTGCAAAGAGGTAAATTGCTGAAGCAGATTTTTTTTTCCTTGTGCTAATCAAACTATGCTGAAAACGAAACTGAAAGTAAAGCAGGCTGTTTGCTGCGACGAGGCAAAATTGCTCAGAGGGAGATTTCTTTTTCTTCTTTTCCTCACCAAAAAAGGTAGGTGCGTCTTATACTACGGTGCGTCTTATACTCCGAAAAATACGGTTAAGTGAAATGGATTCTCTAACCGACCAAGAGAATGAAGACACTCCCTGCATACCTCCGAAAAGGCCTTGGGCCTTGTTTGGGCTCAACAGATCCCACTATCTCAATCTTTGGCGAGGTGGCCGATGCCGGCCATCCTTCTAAACTGACCGTACAATCCGAGATTATGGTGTCCTCCTTCTGCATCGTCTCTATTAAAAGAGACACACCGAATACAACCCCCTGCAGGAGGCATCTCCCCTCCCGGGATCAACACGACATGAAACTTTGGACGGTGGTTAGGTTCCAGGTGATTACTTTGGGGTCAACACAAAAGCAGCAACCGTCATCCTAAAATAGAGGAGCCTCTCGATGCTTAAAGACGTCATTCACACGATTTAGGAGAGAAACGATGGGACGTTTGACCAGCCACCTTTTTTTAAAAAAAATTTATTTCTTTACTAAACTTGCTTCACTATATAAATTTGCTTTCGTATATATATTTAGTCAGACAGAGATAGATAGATAGATTAGATAGACAGACAGACAGATACAGATGACAACCATAGAAGACATAATAGACAGATAGTCTGTCTGTCTGTCTATATCTATCTATCTATCTATCTATCTATCTATCTATCTATCTATCTAT